CCTACAAGGAGTGCATACAGTAGTCGATTTGCGGGGGACGTGCAGACCCACACTTGGCTCTGGTCATCGACTAAAGAGCAATACTGGAGCAGAGGGATAAAACGCCGACTACAGCGCACAGCTTGATCGCATCGCCCACTCAGAAATCATGGAATGCATTTTCAAATTTTTCCTGCTACTACGAATACTACGTTTGTCCAGGAACAACATTTGATCCTTTGTTGAGAAAGTTTGTTCTCAATTTCCGTCTTGTCCTAATAATTGTTGTTCTGGTTTGATTGTCCCCAAGTTCCTGAAGACTCTTATTCCTTCCTCTGGCATTCAGATGTTGTCTCTGCACAAAATCAATTAAATGGTTGTGGATGTGGCATCCGGAGCGTCCTTGCCTTTGGAGCTGGAGTCTGCCTCCTTCTCTTTGTTTGTCGTGTCATCATCATCTTTCTCTTTGGTGGAGGTTTCGTGTTGCTGTTTGGATAACAACTTGACCCTTCTACTTCGGGGCTTTCTCGCTTCTTTGGGTCTAGGTTTGAATTGCTTTTCAAAATCCTGTATCCATCGAACCAGAGTGGCCCCACCCGTGGCAGGCGACGTCCAATCCGGTCTGTTTTCTCGTACCACCCCGTGCAATTGTTTGCGTTGAAGTTCCTCTGCCACTCCAATCAGGGCGCTCGATCGTTGTGCAGTAGGGGCAAGCTCGTAAGGATCGCTCTTGTAATGTAGAAATTTGACCACCAAGGTATCAATGAGAGAGAATGCTTCCAGAGCCTGGGCGCTGCTGGCGAAACCTCCAAAGATGGCCCTTTGTCGAACATGCACCGTCCAGAAACAATCGACCAAGTCCAAAGCTTGGCGCACTTTGGAGAGAAAGTTTTTGTTTCCGCGGAATTGTCGATCATTGACCGTCTTGGCGAGATATCGGAGTTCTGACGCGTGTCCAATACGAAGCGGCAGAAACAATGAATTCAGATAGAGATCCATCAACACATACTTGACCTTGCGACATTCTCTGGTTTTCGGAATGACAGGGTTGGTGTTGTTCATGAATTGGGGTTGTTGCATTAATCCCATCATCATGGCAGAATACGGGGGAATTTGTGCACCAGGATTGACCATGTTTGTAATTGCTCCAGCAGGAGCTCCACCAGGTGCCGGTGCACCAGTTGTTGTCGTGGCTGGTGTGTTTTGCCGATCGTCTTCTTTTTGCTCCTTTTTCTTTCCCTCGTCATACCAACTTTGGACTCTTGCTCTCAATCCCAGCTGTGGAAACAAATCCTTGATACCACCATCAATCTCTCCAACGAGACGGAGATCCCCCACGCTACAAACGAATTGGTCGTGGCAACCGCGAATCGCCGCCTCAATTTGGTTCTTCGACTGCATCCCGATGCTCTTGAAGAAGGCTTCGTCGATTTCTTGCTCATCGTCGCTCTCGCGGCTGCGCTTTTTGCTATTACTAGTGTCTTCGTCGCCTGCCATGGTTGTCTTATTACTTGTCCTCTTCTTTCAAATAATAAAGGCACCACCAAGAATCGATTTGCACCAAGCTAGCAAGCAGCTTTGGAGGAGAATGGTGAGCGCGACAAAAAGGAGGGCAACGATGAGTGTTGAAGCAATGAGCGTCCAAAGTACCGTTATTATACATAACACACACACCCTGAAGCGTGCCTCAGGAACGTTGTGGAAAATGCGAGTCCCGCTTGGTACAATCTTAAATCAAAACTCTCCTTTTTTAAAAAAAATAGGAGAGGAACCTACTGCTCTCCTAATCTCCCGAACTCTCCTAAGTACTCTCCAATTTCCAACGGATCCTCTCCTATATGTACATGTAAACTGCATGGCACACTCTCCAATTTCGAAACCTACTCTCCTAAATAGGTGGTTCTCTCCTAATTACTCTCCTAATTTTAAAGAGAGTACACGGTACTCTCCAATTTCGAAACGGTACTCTCTTAAATCTCCGCATCCTCTCAAGTGAAAGCAACCACAAAAGATAAGGGGGTGCGATGGGGAACCCGGGATTTAGGGTAGGATTTGCTGCAGGGCAGAGTGGCAGAGTGGCAGAGTTTCAAACTCTGCCCTTTAGAATTATGGGGTAGAGCATGCCCTAATTTCGAGTAGAGTTTGAAATCCTACCCTAATTTAGGGCAGAGTTTGAAACTTAGGGCAGAGTTTGAAACTTTGCCCTAATTAGAGTTTGAAACTTAGGGCAGAGTTTGAAGCTTTGCCTTAATAATTAGACCAAAGTTTCAAACTCTGCCCTTCTCCATCTCAGCCATCGCCGACTCAAAGGAACCTTGGGCAGGAAGGTACCTTATAGAGAGGTGGATTGTCTGTATCGAAGCTAATCAGGGCCAGGCTTTTTAAAAAGCAAAGAAGAGTCGAAATTCAGGATTACTAGTAGGTTCCGTGGGTTAGGGGTGATAAATTCAGAACCAGTACCGGTACGGGGGCCCAGTGGCTTGGCTTCGAGGGATCCCGAAGACATAAATGGGTAGCTTTTGCAAGGGCAATAGACATGTGGGTCTGTATGAAGCACATTATTTGAGAGCATGAGAACTGAGTTTTGCTGGCATTGACAGAAGCAAGGCATTGCAAGAGAGTTTTGGCTTTTTTGGGGCAGCCCAAGCATGTCATCCACAGAAACAACAAAGGGATGGAAGGAGGTGTGATTGGATTTGCATGGGCCTTTATACTTGGAAGGAAATACACATCCAACCATTAGCTTCATGCATAAACATGGTGAAAAAAATGGGAGAGACGCTCCTGCTGGAGAGTCCTGATAGTAGCTGCAAGTAGTTCATTTTCGAACCTAGTGAAGCGTATACATTTACTGTAGTAATAGGTAATTGGGCGAGCACCATAGTAGCAAAGAAGTGGTGGTCCCTTCACATTGGAGGTGCCACACAAGGAGAGGACGGGAAATGCCTGTGCACTACGCTAAAAGCTAGTGTAAAGATCTTTCGAGTGTTTTGAGTTTGAGAGAATGAAAGTTATGAGAGGATTAGAAAGCTATGAAAACTGTTGGTTTCTAGTAACACTCTAGCTTAGTAAAGGTAAAATACTGTTTTACTGTTAAGCTATTTCCAAGAAGTGATCTTTCTCCATGTTTTCTGGGATTGATTCAACTTCAAAGGATATAGTGAAGGGGGTGACCATATAGATCAGTTAAACTCCCCATGTATGTAACTAGAGAATAGATATAGATATCCCCTATCAACTAGATTGGGATAAACGACTAATTTGTATTGAGGTGTCTGTAATACAACCTCCAACACACTCCTGCACGGTTCCATAAAGGATACCGTGGAACGAATAATTAATGTAATGATGGTTGCTCCATAAGGAACAGTTGTTGGTCGAGAGAGACCAATTGCTAGGTTGCTTGGCATTCCGCTTGGTGGCGAGAAGCTTGTCATCCATAGCAGTGCTGACAAATCTGTCACAGTCAATGTGGACATGTGGACAGTGTCGTCATGAAAAGCCACTGTGGCTACCACTCCTGTGAGTGTTGCCACTCCTGTATGACTTGCTGTGGCGGTTGGTGCCGTCACTTGATGTTGCTGTATTCGAAACTGGGAAGTTCCGATCACTTGTTGAACCGTGGACTGGGAAGTTCCGGTCACTTGGTATTGCTGTAGCTGGAAACTAGGAAGTTCCGGCTGCATTCTCGTAGACTCAAACTGTGCTCTTGACTGGCGGTGTAGACTGAACTGGACATTGATATGCCATGGTCTCAATCGCCAATGATGTGTGGAAACATCAATCCATTCAGGCTTGATACTGGATTTGGAAATCAGGTGAGCATGAGTCTGTGCAATAGCTTGGTAGCTATCTGGAGTCAGCTTGTTGTCCATTGGAATGGAACGTGAGCTGTCTCTTCTTGTTGGATGTCCAAGAAGTGTTGGATGTCCTGCTGTTGTCTTTTCCAGAGGAATGGAATCCTCTTCTTCCCAGCTGGGGAAGCTTCTTCCTTCATCACGGCCTCCTCTTCTTTGGAATCGAATGGCTGTGACTTGTTGTACATGAATGTGTGCTTGCTTGATGTGGACCTTGGGTTGCACCTCTTGTAGATGGGTGCTGGCAACTTGTGGCGTTCCGTCGAACTGTTGCTTGCTTTGAGCTGGTTCCATGGTGGAACTGTTCCTGTGGAACTGTGGGAATCCTCTGCAGAAGATATCCCGGTAGCACTGGTGTGTGGCTACCCTTGCTTGAGTAAGCTTGCTCTGCCTCGATGGGCTTCTGTGGTCGCACTTGCAATCTCATGATGGATCTTCTGAGTCGATCCCGAGAGTCAAACTGAATCGATCTCGTGGTCGCTGCTTGTGATTCGATCGCTTCGTGTCATTCGATCTGGCATGATCGTTTCTTGTCAGTCGATCTGGTGTGTCAATCTGGATAGATCGATCGGAGAATTCAAAGGAAGGTTGAAAAAGGTTTGAGACTTTGGTTTTGGTGGGTACAACTTTATCAATACCACTCCTGCTGTCACTGTTGGCACACTCCTGTGAGCTAGCTGTGGCAGGACTTGTACTTGTTGTAGCCAAAGCTGGCTTGGTTGGTTTGGACATTGGATGGAACGTGGGGTTGCTATGGAGCTAGAGGTGGTTCCTCAAGATTCCTGAGAATCGATAGCACTCAAAGTGTCTATATGTGCTTGGGTAAGCAGACTCCTGCCTTGGAAAGGCTTTGTAATCCAAGTCTCACGTCGTCGTGCCGACTGGCTTGCAATGAGTCCAAAACAAACCTTGGAAGTAGTTGCTCGGCATCCCGCTTGGTGGCGAGAAGCTGAGCGGTGGAGACGAGACAATACGGACATTGTCATCATCAGAAAAGTCTTTGTGGCTGGCACTCCTGCTGAGAGTGATGCCACTCCTGGAAGACTGGTGTCGGATGATACCGTCACTTGGTGTACCTGCGGCTCGGACTTGGAAGTTCGGCTGCATTGACACTTGATGGGGCTGGAAGCCCTTCGCAGATGGAAGCTGGTTGAAGCTTCTGGAAGTCGTAGACTTGTGGGAAGTGATGCCCTATTGGAAGGTGCATGGAAGCTGGAAATGATGTAGCTTGGAAGTCACGGACTTGTTGGGTTCGACTGAACCCAGTTCTTGGATGGTCTCGATGTCTGAAGATGGAATGAGGAAATGGTTGAGTTGGTGTTTCCTCTTGTCATGGTGGTTTATACTCATGTGAGACTCGTGACTGCTGGTGTCGTCACTTGTGGTGACTGGTGCCGTCACTTGGTACACTTGGTACACTTGGTACCGTCATTTGGTGTTGCCGTAGCTGAGACTGGGAAGTCAGGCTATAGCGACACTTGTGAGAACTGTTGTAGTAGCTGGAACTAGGAGGAAGTTCCTTGCCACAATGATACTTTGAGTTGGGGTTGGAAGCCCTTGGAAGTTTGGAAACTTGTTAGGAAGTATTCGGTAGTAGTTGTGGATGCTCCAACTTGATGGGCTCCACTGGACCTGGACGTGTCACGGTCGATGATGATGTAGTCGGTAGATCCTTTGGTTGGTGATGCCACTGCTCTTACACTCCTGTGAGTTGGCTGTGGCAGGACAAGTGTTGGTTCTGTCACTGCTCTTACACTCCTGTGAGTTGGCTGTGGCAGGACTTGTAGTTGTCCGTAGTTGTATCTATGGTTGGCTTGGTTTGTTGTACTGGTGTACTTCTGTTGTTGGTGTGAGACTAGGTTGGTTGCAATCTCTGTACAGTAGTTGCAGTGGAGCTGAGGTGTGCACTTTCTTGTTGTTTCTATTGATCAGGTTCCCGCTTGTGGGTCAAACTCTGAATGCTCCAGCCATCCTGTGGCTTGGTTCCTTGTCTTGTGAACTCTTGAGTTGCTTGTAGCTAGCTACTCGGTTCAACGTTCACTGTCGTTCTGCTGTTGTTGCAGTTGCCGTTATTGTAGATAGTGTTGGTTTTGGATTTGGGTACCCTCACACTCCTGTGCACGTGCTGTGATCAAATAGCAAGGGCATGGTCTTGTAATGGTATGGTATCTGTTGTTGCCTACCTAGAGGCTGGTGTTGCCTCAGGTTTGCCTGTAATCGGTGGAGGAAGTGCTGTGGGGATTAGTTGCACAATACACATTCCAAAAATGTAGTAGGAGGTGCTGTGGCTGGGATGCCACAATACACACTCCATGAAAGGGGTAGGAGGTGCTGAGTAAAACTCAATACACACTCCAAAGAAAATATTCAATGCTGGAGGCGGATGCACTCCTGTGCTTCCTATAGCAACAGCTTGCACTGTTGCAGTAGCTCTTGTGCCGGTCGGGCTCCGGTACAGTTGCGCATCCGTACTGGTACCGAGACTTGTCTTGGATTCGCCGTGGAATCCTCTTGTTGCCGACGAATGGTACGGAGAGATCTTGGGAGGGATCTGGCGCCGTACACTCCTGGAAAGATACTTTTCATGAAAGATACCTTTTTCGTTGTGACGTTCAGTGGCTGTGCTTCTTTTGTTGTGCTCGCTGAACTGCAGGCTTGTTCTTTTGTGTTCCATTGCAGAACTGCTGTCGGATTTCCTCACAAAAAGCAAAGTCTTCTTCTGCCGACAGCAGTTGCCGACACT